ATTATATTTCTCTATATTATATTAGTGATGCACGTTTTATTGATACACATTTTAGATGCATGTAATATATCAGTGATGTTAGTGATGCAGTAAATGAGTTATCATTAATATACGTGAAAAAGACATGTTAGTGATGCATGTATTTTTTGGTTGATTAAATAACTCATTAATATAACTGAAAAAGACAAGCATTTAAATATGATGTTTAATTAATATAACTGAAAAAGACAAGCATTTAAATAGGAAGTTTAATTAAATTCTCAGTGGCATATGAGTGTAAATAAGTTGGAAAACTTAGGGGTATTTTTTAGTGGGTACTTCTCTTTTAATAATAGAGATGAGTAAATCCAATGTGAAGCAGAAGCAGCGGTGTTTGATATGGAATACGCGAGATGGCTGGAGGAGCAGCAGAGGCTGTTAACCGAACTAAGGGTGGCGACACAAGAGCACTTGGCTGAGAACGAGCTTAGGATGTTTGTGGACACTTGTCTAGTTCACTATAACCATTTGATTAACCTCAAGGCCATGGTGGCTAAGGCTGATGTGTTCCACCTTATCTCTGGTGCTTGGCAAACTCCAGCCGAGCGTTGCTTCTTGTGGATGGGAGGTTTTCGTCCATCTGAAATCATTAAGGTACATCTGTTTTTTTCTTATCCAATATAATTATATATATCCTTTAATGTATGTGGGTATGTGCTACGTACACTCTCACACAAATTAAGATAATAAATTGGCTATCGTTTAGTAAGATGTGTCTAAACTAGTCGTGATGATATCGTAAACTAATCAACGTTGATAACTAGATATAATCCGAAAATTTTGGATTTTACTCAAAGACTAATTATATTAAATTATATCTTCTACGCTAGATTAATCCACATTCTAGAATTCAATCATTGAACATTTCATAACATTGCATGGATGGATTGTAAATATATAATGCAATTATGCAAACCTAAGTGTATATATGTGTCCTTAATTTTATTAAGAAAATGATGAAAGTGCACGTAAAATAAATAAAAAAGTTCTGAAAAAAAACAAAAATAAAATAACTAATAAGAAGGTGCATGCAGTTGTGTGATGGTGAAGTATATTTCTACAAAAGGTTAGGTCGTGGCATTATGTAAAAGAAAGTGACTGTCTGTTTTGTCAATATGTATATATGGTCCATATAAGAAAAAGCATGAAAGCACCATGAAATTTAACAGAGGCGACAATAACAAATAAAACAAAATTTAAATAAATAAAAGCAACAAATTACAGTATAATTTTTAAAATTAATTAAATGGATGGTGTGTATAGCTGACTAGATCTTTAGCAATGTCTTGATCTTATTTCCTTGTTAGTGAAAACAAAAAGGAACGAAGAGATCTCGGGTGTACCTAGTACCCTGTGAATAGTACATTAAGCATTTAGTGCATTCATCGTTCTTTAGAGCATGTTTATTGCAATGTTTTTAAATTAAGGTTTTTAGCTGAATTAAGATACCGTCTTTTAACTTTCAACTAAAAAAACAAAGAACCGATGCTTAAATATTTACGGTTTTTTAGTTCTGCTAAGAACCCTTACTTTAAGAATATATTGTTATAATTTTCTCATAAGCTTGTAACAATAGTCCTGTATTGATTTGAAATTACGCTTATAGGTAATTGTGAACCAGATAGAACCACTGACAGAGCAACAGATAGTTGGGATTTGTGGGCTGCAACAGTCCACACAAGAGACCGAAGAGGCTCTCTCGCAAGGTATCGAAGCACTGAATCAGTCGCTATCAAGTAGTATTATATCCGACTCCCTCTCGCCTGCCTCTGCACAGCTTCCCCCTCATCTATCCAATCTCATGTCACACATGTCCTTAGCTTTCAACAAACTCTCTTCCCTTGAGGGCTTCGTTCTCCAGGTACCTCTAGCTAACCCTTTTCTTTTTATTTTAAATTAAAGCTATAGAAGAAACTTTTTCTTTCTTTTTGAGAAACAAATACAATAAACTTTTTACGTAAATTACCTACCAATCTTTATATCAGGCCTACTTTATATTTCCAATCTCTATAATATTATTTGAGAAGTCAGTTTCCTATGTGTCGCTCTCACGTTCATTCTCACGATGGTTGATTACATTGATACCCTTAATGAATTAAAAATAGTATTATTAATTCTTTTATTTTTAGTTTTTCCTTTTCAAAAATTTCCAAAATGATAGATAATAAAAAGGCATTTTTATAAAGTCATAAAAAACAAATTTAAAACGAAAATATATGTATATATAATATGATTTCATAAAAAGGAAAGTTGACAAAATAGTAATAATACATTTAAAAATATTTTTAAATAACATAAAAATATGTATATATAATATACTTTCATAAAAAAGGAAAGTTCACAAAATAATAATAATACATTTAAAAATATTTTTAAATAACATAAATATACTTTTAGAGTAATAAAATAGTTTATATATTATTGAATTTTTATTTATTTTTCATATATTTAGTTGACTATAATATCTTTCAATTACAGAAAATTATCTAGAACTTATATTTTACTTATATAATATTATTTTCAAATACAATCACAATTTTGTGTAGTGCTTATTTTTAAGAGATATTAAAAACTAAAATTAAATTTAACAATTAACATCGTTTGGTCAAAATAATTCTTCTAATGAGCTAGATATATGATATTTTATCATTATTAAAATTATTTATTTTATTAATGTTAATTGTTTAAAATTTTATGTTTTATGTTTGTGAAACTAAATATAACCATAATTAAAATATCAAAGCAAATCTGAATTCTCAATTTAAGATTATTTAAAAGAAATTTCAGTTTATATTCAATAAATCTAAAGCATAAAGTTATCTAGAATTTATAAATGCATGTAACCTTTTATTGATCATATGATAACTCATAACATATTAACAAATAAAAATAAATACTAACCAACTCTTACAATTTTAGTTCTTTTGTAAAATTTATATATATCCATGAGACTTTAGAATATTTTCGTTATATTAATTTACGTATTTTGGAATCAGACACTTTAGTTAATTTTTAATTCATTATAAGCACAATATATCTTAAGTTATACATAATTTTCCTAAAATATATTTACATATCTAAGACAACACCCACCATATGCAAATAAGTAACTAATTAAAATTAATATATTTTAAAAATATTACAGTTGAATTCAGAGATGCAATCCGATTTATCCAAATGATAATTAAACCAACCGTAAAACAACAAAATTGACTAGATATAACATATATAAAATTACAGTGTAAGTAAAGTAATATAATACTATTCATATAAATGATGCATAAAATTATAAATTAATTTAAAATTAAAAGTAATGATAATCAATTATTATATATTTAATTTAAAAGTATTTATACTCGTGCATGAGCACGGGAAAATCACCTAGTTTATATATGATATACAAGGAGAGCTGTGGTCCTAATCAGACTAGGATTAAATTTTCGATTCTTTGAACCACTCCTTATTCGAAACTAGTATCATATACATGTATATATTTGGTTGCTATAACACGCTATCTACATTTATATGGATGTTTGTATATACAACTCATACATACGCATACCGTCAGTCTTAATTGGTAGAGGCCATTCATATTTTATAGTGGTTGATTTTTGTTTTGGAAGATTATAAGAGAATATTCAAATTAATTTACAGACTTTTTGATTATATATGTGTGAAACATTGGTCTTAGATCCTAAATCTTTTGATAAAAATTATTTAGATATAGTCCTTTAGAAAACTTTTAGACCCCTAAATTTGAAAAAAAAAATTAGTTGAAATGTTTAATAAACTACATATAACCTCCTAAAATTCAGGACCAGTAATAAAAAAGAAATAAATCGCATGTGACCTCCTAAAACATGTTAATAAATTGGATTTAAAAAGAAATAAAAAATTATTTATTTCTTTGAATTTATTGTGGAACGAATCAACACTACTAATTTGATTATAAAGTGGTATCCTATAGCTCAAGAAATAATATATTCAAAGATGCAAACTAAAAACAAAGAGACATATTCAAAGAGTTCCAATTCCGACCAAAATCCAATTCTAGTTATTGTAGTTTGGGATACGAGAATGCGAAACTCCCTTCCCAATACGATTTTACTCCCTCTGTTTCATTATAAGTGTCACTCTACAGCTGTGCACACGGATTAAGGAAACAATTAATTTTACATATTTCCTATATAAAAACACAGTTACCTATACACCTAACCATATTTTAACCAATAGAAAAATTAGTTACATAATAAAATTAATAAATTTTGCATTGAAAACTGAAAACGACACTTATTTTGTAACGCAAAAAATTCTCTACANTCTACAGCTGTGCACACGGATTAAGGAAACAATTAATTTTACATATTTCCTATATAAAAACACAGTTACCTATACACCTAACCATATTTTAACCAATAGAAAAATTAGTTACATAATAAAATTAATAAATTTTGCATTGAAAACTGAAAACGACACTTATTTTGTAACGCAAAAAATTCTCTACAACGACACTTAATATGAAACAGAGGGAGTAGTATTCTTCGATATGGTGGGGATGAAGGTCATGTTTTTTGGTACCAATAGCAGTCAACTCAGACAATTCAAATCTTGGGTTGTAATGCTTCAGTGACAAGTTAATATATTTTCTAAGTGTACTAAAATTTTATTGGGAAGGGAGTTTTGCGTTCTCGTAATCCCAAACTACAATAAATGGAATTGAATTTTGGTCGAAATTGAAACCCTTTGAATAGGTCTCTTTGTTTTTAGTTTGCATCTTTGAATACATTATTTCTTGAGCTATAGGATAATCAAATTAGTTGTGTTGATTGGTTCCATAATAAATTCAAAGAAATAAATATTTTTTATTTCTTTTCAAATCCAATTTATTAGCAGGTTTTAGGAAGTCATATGCGATTTATTTCTTTTTTGTTACTAGTCCTAGATTTTAGGAGGTTATATGTGATTTATTAAACATTTTAACTATTTTTTTTTTCAAATTTAAGGGTCTAAAAGTTTTCTGGAGAACTATATCTAAATAATTTTTATCAAAAGATTTAGAGATCTAAAACCAATATTTCATCCAGCTTAGTCTAAGACGGTCATGGATCTTAGGCTAGTCTTTTTTATATTTTTGGTCAACTGTTTAGGCCACTATTATTTAACAATTCATGCATACAAAAGGAACATAAATCTATACTTTTACTAATCTCTATAATATTATTTGAGAAGTCAGTTTCCTATGTGTCGCTCTCACGTTCACTTCCACAATGGTTGATTACACTGATACCCTTAATGAAAAAATAGTTAAAAATAGTATTTAATTCTTTTATTTAGTTTCCTTTTCAAAAATTTCCAAAAATATATGTAATAAAAAGGAACTTTTTATAAAGTCATAAAAACAAATTGAAAACGAAAAATATATGTATATATAATATGATTTCATACAAAAAGGAAAATTCACAAAATAGTAATAATACATTTAAAAATATTTTTAAATAACATAAAATATACTTTTAGAGTAATAAAAATAGTTTATAATTAGTATTATTGAATTTTTTATTTATTTTTCATATATTTAGTTGACTATAATATCTTTCAATTACTGAAAATTATCTATAAATTAGATTTTACTTATATAATATTATTTTCAAATACAATCACAATTTTGTGTAGTGCTTATTTTTAAGAGATATTAAAAACTAAAAATAAATTTAACAATAAACATCGCTTGATCAAATAATTAACAATTAGTTTAATAGGCAAGATATATAATATTTTATCTTATTAAAATTATTTGTTTTCTTAATATTAAATTTTCTTATAATTTTTATGTTTTTATGTTTGTGAAACTAAATATAACCATAATTAAAATACCAAAGCAAATCTGAATTCCCAATTTTAAGATTATTTAAAATAAATTTTAGTCTACATTGAATAAATCTAAAGCATAAATTTATTTAGAATTTATAAATATTTTAATTATTGAAAATAATGATATGTGTTCATGAGCTTCCAAAAATGTATCAACTACTTATACATGTAACCTTCTATTGATCACAGGATAACTCAAAACATATTAACAAATGAAAATAAATATTAATCAACTCTTACAATATTAGTTCTTCTATAAAATTTATATATATGTATGAGGCTTTAGAATCAGACACTTTAGTTAATTTTTAATTCATTCTAAGCACAATATATCTTAAGTTATACATAATTTTTCTAAAATATATTTATATATCTAAGACAACACCCACTATATGTAAAGAAGTAATTAATTAAAATTAATATATTATAAAAATATTACAGTTGAATTCAGAGATGCAATAAAATTTATCCAAATGATAACTAAATCAACCGTAAAACAACAAAATCGACTAGATATAACATATATAAAATCATAATATAATTAAAGTAATATAATATTATTAATATAAATATGCAAACAAATTATAAATTAATTTAAAATTAAAACTAAACAGTAATCAATTATTATCATATATTTACTTTAAAAAAATTATACACCTACATGAGCACGGGAAAATCACCTAGTATCTTAATATTCGTGTGTTTAGCCAAAAGCTATAAAAATGAACCGCAATGCAATAACACTTATATATTTATATATTTTTCTTACTATTAAAAATGCACCGCACTTATTTCATAGTTGTTCTGCATGTTACCATTCACAGTCTTAAAATAGAAATAGACAGGGGCAACTTCAAAAGAGGTGGAAATATTGGTTTAGCTTACTAAAACAGGACAACGGGATACAAACTTCTTAAAAACACGTGACAATTGTCACCATGAATGATGAATGTATATATATCACATCAAATGGAAACATGACTTGCTTGGAGTTCTTAACGTTCCATGATGTCATGGACGTAACTGCCCGATCGAGTACCTATCCTCCCAAAACACTTGCTTGACAAAAATTCCTTTAAACTTATATTCCATCCCCGGGTGTTTTTTTTTTCTCTTGTCTCTACTTAATGTCGGCCACCTTTATTTTTTAAAGAAAACTAGATCTTGGCCCGCCCGGACGGGTATATATTTTGTTTTGTTTTGTTTTATTTTTTTCCTTTTAGAAATTTAATTTTATATTTGTATTTTTTTTTTGAAATTATGTTTAAGGTTTTTTGTATAATCATGTTTATATCTAAATTTTAATCAAAATCTATTTTATAAAATACAAGCAATTTAAAAATCGACCCACCATCATTCACTTGTGTCTTTCTAATTATATACACATATGTTCATTGTCTTGTAATCGTATTTATCTATTTTAGATCTTAACCCATGTTTTGAGGTATAGTGTTGGTTTCTATTTTTTTCTTATGTTGGGTAAAAAATATCATGTTTATAGTGCTACTTATTATATTGTAGCATGAATAATGAATGATCTTTACCAAAAAGAAAATGAATAATTAATAATATGATTATTTGACAGTGTGTTACAAAGGTGGATAAAACTGCAAAAACAGTCGACTGTAATATTAAAAGTAGTCGACAGTTTTAGTAGGATAGAAAAATGGGTCCGGTTATTTTGGAATAAAAGAGCTGGTTACAAATTATTATTATTTTTTTTTTTTGGTAAAATGTTAAATATTATACCAATTTTCAATTTTTGACAGAAAATACAATGACTACTAGTAGCAGAGAACAACAGCGACAACAAAAACACAAGAACAAACTACGGACAACAGCAAAACGACGGACAAAGAACACCACAGCTCAAGGGAGATACAAGATTAACAACGAGACGGGTTCAGACCTAACAAACCCGAGAACTAGATGAGAAACCTATAGGTTGCCACGAGCTACCGAGAGAAGGGCGCCCTCAAACCCTGAATGCAACGGCTCCTACAGCTTCCTATAAGTACCCAGAGCGCTCCCAGACGAAGAATCCAAACACGGGTCCAAAACAAGCGAGATAAAAGAAAACCACCGGCGGTACGAGGAGAAGCCATAAACCGACGATGCCGTCGTTCAGTAGATTACGCCAGAGATTACCGCCTCCATTGCATTTCACCGTGACCGTGTACACCCATCTAACCACCACTCATATAGAGAGACAGATCGGTAAATGGACAACCCTCCGGAGGAAACAAAACCATAGCCGGACTCTGAAACCGCTGTCCAACTGTCGCCCTACGCAAAGAACCGCTCGAACCAGTAACACCCACAAGCCACAACGACAAAGCTATTGAGATTATTTGAGAAGAGAATGTGACAGAGCAGGCCACTAACGCCGACCACCACCAAAGTTTGAGGAGAGCAGAGAACATAACCGGAGCCAAGACGAAGCAAAGACGAGACCGGAGGAACTCAAACCCTAACGCGCTGCCACCAGGGAACACGGAGAAACGGACCGACGTCTCCGCCGCCGAAGGACCCCACGCGCTGCAACACCGGAGAACACGGCAGAGCACCAAAAACAAGACAGAGGGGCAACAAGCTCACCAGATCCGGCAAACCAAACGCCCCAACTCCACCCGACTATTCGCACTCCCACAGATGCCACACCGGAGGAAAACAAGATCGAAGAGGAGCAAGCCGGCACTGCAACACCACCACTCTCGGAGAGGCTAACCTAGAACTCGAGAAAATGACCGGAACCACCCAGGTAGACAGAGGTTAAACGCGGAGCAGGGAGGAGCCGTCCTCAAGCCATCCACAGCCACACAACCCCAGATTTATTTTCGGAATCCCAGATCTGAGAACCAAGCAAGCTTCTCCCTCAACGCAGAAAACAGAGATAACAGAGGAGAAGAAAAGCAGCAAAAAAGAGAGACGAACAACGGGTCCGGCGGCCGCGAGATGGAGGTGGCGGCCGCCGGAAAAGACCTCAAGCCGCAGGAAACCCTAGGAGAGAAGTTGGAGAGAAAACTGAGTAGAGAGAGAAAGTCTCATGTGACACCTGTAACCATTTCAGCCAACGGATATCTTTAAAAAAAAAAAGAGATTGGAAAACGCCGACTGTGGGGATAGTAACTGTTATATAATTAGATATATATTTTATAATCTGTGCAGTTATATTTTAGATGCAGTTATATTTTAAATTGAACCTAACATTTATCAATAGGGCATGTTTCTAATTTAATAGTATTGATACCATTAGTCAGTTATATGCATTTCTAATTATACCATAGGTTGATTTGGATTATCTCATTCGTAATCAAAAGTATTATGAAGCATGGCGTGGGACCGAGATATGGCAATCACGGTTTCACCTTTTGACAATCTGGTGTTTTGCTTTGAATTTTGTTCGATCAACATGTTGAATCATTGGCATTAATTAGTCGTCAACCAACCATATAATTTCAGGTCATGCAGTGCAGATTAATCATTTAAATCATGAATTTATTTTTATTTTTGAAAAAAGGCTTTAAATCATGAATTTATTCAGAAAGGCTTTAAACCATGAATTTATTCAAAATACATAAGTTTACTAATTAGTCTATTTATACTCTGATTTATGTGATTACTAGTGACGACTGACGGTCCATAATCAATTTATTGCCATAAATTTCGTCAATAATATGAACGCAAGTTTGTCCATATTATTCTGTCTTTTTTGGTACAATTTCTGTATTTTCTCTTTATTTGTTGTATAGTTTTGAACTAAAACATTGAAAACTTACAGGCGGATAATCTGAGGCACCAAACAATCCATAGGCTGAACCAATTGTTGACGACCCGTCAAGGAGCACGTTGTATTCTAGCCGTTGCAGAGTACTTCCACCGTCTTCAAGCTCTAAGTTCTCTCTGGCTAGCTCGTCCACGCCATGATGGATGAGACCATATATTATCCACAGACGATGGAATTCAAGAAAAAAAAAAAAAAAAGACAAGAGAACAGTTTGATTAGTTAGCCAGCTCAACTTCTTGATAATATATATATTATTATTCTCTCCATCGACAATTGTTAATTAGGGAAAATTGTTTGGATTTTGTTATATGATTCTTGCTTGTGCATGTGAAAATTAAGACTATTTTGATTCCGATCCATACACAAGAGGTTGTTTGGTTTATAGTACCAAAATAAAATGATAGTACATTTTCAAAATGTGTTTGATCGATTGGTTAGCAACGCTGGAGCGGCGCACCACATAGACAAAGGTTGTTGGAGAACTCATAGACCTCGAAGTTCTGGAGTAGACCACCCTGAGGGATGGAACCACAGAGACGGTTGAAACTTATGTTAAAATGGTCAAGTTGGAGACTGGCCAGCTGCAAAGGAATCTCTCCGTAAACACGGTTATGGCTAAGGTCCAATGACACCAAGCTTTTGGCGAATTTCACCTTTGAGATATCGAAGTGGAAGTTGTTCCTAGACAAGTCCAATCTTACGGTTGTTTTCTTATGTCCAAAGAACATTGAAGCATCTCCACTAAAGTTGTTTCCTGACAAAATCAGAGTGTTGAAGTTGGTTTTGGATAGCGAGTTTGGTATTTCTCCTGCATTGCAATTTAATCAACATAATCGATTTATGTATACAATTGATTATTCATTTATTCTACCTAGCAACATAAAGAAAAATCTTAGGCAATAACTTGAGTGACAAGTTATACAAAATATAAGGAAAAATGGTAGGCAAGTACTTGAGTGACAAGTTTTACCTGAGAGGTGATTATTACCTAAGTAGAGTTTCAGGACCTTTCCAGAAAATGAACCGAAAGATTCCGGTATAGAACCGGTTAACTTGTTATGACTGAGCTGTATGGTCTCAAGTTTCGGCATCTGGGAAATCGAACCGGGTATTAAACCATTAAACCGGTTATAAGATAGGTCCAAGAAAGTAACGTTCTGAAGCTCGCTGATGTATTCTGGGACTGGACCAGAGAGTTCGGTTCTCTTAAACCGAAGGTACACTAGTTTCTTGAGCTTGGTGATAGAGCGTGGAATGGTTCCTCTAAGTCGAGAAAGACAGCTCCAATCTAGAATAACGAGGTCAGTAAGGTCACCGATCTCTTCAGCTATCTGACCAACGACGTCTCCGGCAGCTATAGTGAGGCCGGTGATGCGGCGGTGGGTGCACACGACGCCGGTCCAGTTGGTGCAGCAGTTGGTTTTGGAGTCCCAAGAATTGAGGATTTGAGGGTTGTTTAAAGATTTTTTGATCTTGAGGAGAGTAGCTTTGTCATTTGAGTGACAGCTTCTAGAGCATGGAAACAAGATGAAGAAGAAGAACATAGAGAGGTTAAGAAGCTTCATTCTCATTGGATCTTAACTTGCCATTGAAGTTACTTTTATTTTTGGAATCATTTAATCGAGTGGATAGCCAACGTGAGTAGATGATCCATACAAAATGGTCCTCTTTGACCATTCACATGCTTTGTATGTTACAACCGATTTTTTACATTGATAATTTACTAAGAAATACCCTCAAAATAACTCAAAATTTTGTTCAGAAATAACACACATAGCTAAATAACATTCGTTAAATGACATAGTAATTTTTTTTTTTTTTTTTGACATCGAATTAGAAGGGTGAAATTAGGATTAGAGTTTATGATGTAGGGTAGTTTAGTGTTTTTACTGAGTAATAAATGCTATTTTGGAAAAAAAATTGAATGTTATTTTTGTGACAAAAACTAAAAAATTATTATTCCTTCCATTTCAATATTGTTGTTATTTTGATTTTTTACAGACAGATTAAGGAAGTATTTAATTTTAAATATTTTCTAAAAAACACAATTACCTATGCATCTAAACACATTTCAACCAATAGAAAAATAGAATAGTATATAAAATTAATAAATTTTGCATTGAAATTATAAAACAACATTTATTTTGAAACGAAAATTTTCTTCTATAACGACAACAAAATTGAAACGGAAGGAGTAATATTTATGAGATTTGCCATAATTTATTCTAGAAATGGGTAAAATGTTTTATATACAAGTAGTTTAATGTTTCTTGCTGCTCTTAGTTCCCTTTCTTCTTCTAAACCATTAGCTAGAAGCTGACCTTTGTTCAAGTGAGAACAATGACTTTATACCCTCCCTAGCAACAGGAACACACACCAAAGGTGTAGCTCTAGGCAGAGATGATCCAGTCCCTTCACTCATCTCCACTTTTCCCTTCACTTTCAACTCAAAGCACTGTATCACCGCAGCTAAAACCAATGGAACAAATCTAAACACCATTTTCTCTCCAGGACAACTTCTTCTCCCAGCTCCAAAAGACACCATCTTCTCACTCATTACCTTCCATTCACTTCCTTCAAACCTCTCAGGTCTAAACTCCAATGGATCTTCCCATTGATTTGGATCTCTTCCTATCGCCCAAACATTAACCATCACTCTAGTTTTTGGTGGGATTCTGTATCCATCCACTGCACATTCTTCATTTGATTCTCTCACGAAAATTGGTCCTCCAGGATGTAACCTCAGTGTCTCCTTCACAACTGCTTGTATGTAACTGAGATTGCACAGATCAGATTCTTGTACTAGTCTCTTGTTTCCCACCACTTGTTGTATCTCTTGTTGTGCTTTCTTCATGATCTCTGGATGGTTTATAAGCTCTGACAATGCCCACTCTACTGTGATGGCAGATGTATCTGTTCCACCTCCATAAATGTTCTGCACAACAAATGAAATTAGAAAGATGTAACATGAATGTTGTGTGTTGGACTTAAGAAGACATTTTATACCATGATGAAAGCCTTAATGTTTTCTCTTGTCAGTTTCATCTCTGAGTTTTTGTCTTCATATATGTCAAGCAAAATGTCTAGCATGCTCCTTGCTCCTCCTACATCTTTGTGATTCCTAGACTCATGCTCTTTCATTATCCTCTCTATGATCACATCATATCTTTCTCTAGCATTCTTGAGCCTCTTCTTGATTCCTTGCAAGTCAAGTCTCCTCAAGAACCAAAACGTTTCAGAGACGTTGAAGAACCCTGCGAGTTCATTCAACTCCACAACCATTTTGATAACTTCCTCTCTTCTCCCACTATCCGATCTCTTTTCTCTGAACATCATTCTCGTTATGGTGCTGCTTGTCAACTCCTTAAGCTGTTCACCAAGATCAACACTCTCTTCCGCTTCTGCTTTCTTCATAACGCGTATCAAAAACTTCCTCAACTCCTCGGTTCTAACATTGACAAAGCTATCTAATGCTCTGCTGCTGAAGAGCTCCATCATACAAATCCTCTTCATGAACTTCCAGTGAGGCCCATAAGGCGCTGAGAAGAAATCAGATGAGCCATAAGTAAGGTAGTCAACGTTTTGCATTGTGGGACGGTTCAAGAAGTTGAGCTCGTTGGATTTGAGAATCTCATTTGCCATCTCGGCTGATGAGACAATAAGGTTAGGAATGGAGCCAATGAAGAGATACATCAATGGTCCATAGCGGATGGAGAGCTTGCGAAGTGCTTGGTGAGCTATGGGACCAAGAAGGTGAATGTGACCGATGATTGGTAAAGCTGTTGGGCTTGGTGGAAGTGGTAGTTTGTTACGGTATCTGTAGGTGTTTATGGCTTGGAGCAAGACTTTGATTATTCCAAGGCATAGAAGGATGATTACAATGAAGTATTGTGTATCCATCATTCTCGTTTGTTTAAGTGTATGAGAACAATATGAAGATGATATTATAGGATACGCAGCAAAGTCATGACTCATTATGGTATCAAATGTTAAAGCCAACCTTAAGATTCTTTCTTGTCTCCTTTTGTCTTTGTTCTGTATTTGTCTCTTCTGTGAGGGTATATAATCTTTGTTTTTACTCTGTTTTCATCTTTATTTTATGTATTAATGGATTATAAACAAATAATTTTTGTAAGAATTTACTTAATGGTTGTTAAGCTTTCATTATCTGTTGACAAGATAAAAAATGTTTCTGCTTTCATTGTCTGTCGATTGTAGTTACATTAAAATACAAATTTCACTGTCTGTTAATTATAGTTAGTTTAGTATCTTAAATAAGTAATTACTGATTGCAATATATCTCATGGAAGTAGGCAAGGATACAAGTGAAGCTTATGAAAACATAGAACAACTAGTACATGTAGAAACAGAACATGACCTGATAATAACATGTATGTGACATGTAATAGATAGATGTTTGAAACTATATGCAGTTATGTTTATTTTATACTGTCAGCTAGTTATTTTTTCTATATAGTCTTTTGTTCTGTTTTTGTATTTATGTGAAGGTATAATCTCTGTTTTTCATTCTGCTTCCATGGCTATTTATGTCAAGTCAATTCATACTTAGGTGATTTTTCAGTGTAATTAGACTGGTCATTAACATTAACATGAAAAATATATTTACTTGTAGTCGTGTTGATTAAACAAGATGGGAACAGTTATTTTCATTTAATGATAACAGAGCACAAAACAGAGCATGAAAACAGAGCAATATATGTTTCTTTGCAGAAACTTTATTGAGTTACTTATCCAAATGGATCAAAATACAATTTAGGAGAACACATAAGTGAACTTCCTCCTGCCGTCCATGAAGCCGAAAAGCCCGTTGGTAACTTAATCTTAAACTTTTCCTCATCTCCCTTCACAGTCCAATCAAAACACTGAACTAATGATCCTATCGTGAGACTCAGCACCAAAGACGCATGAGAAGCTCCCAAACATCCTCTCCTTCCACTCCCAAACGCAAGATAATTCACATCTTGACCTTTTAACTCCAACATATACTGCTGGTAATAATAACCCATCTTTCTCTCTGTGCTTTCTTCCACCACAAGAAACCTCTCTGGCACAAACTTGTCTGGATCTTTGTACGTCCTCGGATCACGCATTATCCCGTATGCATTTATGAAGATCTTTGTTCCTGATTTTACAACGTACCCATTGATCTTCATGTCTCTGTTGCTTTCTCTGCGTAGTAATGGTCCTACTGGATGGAGTCTTAGTGTCTCCTTGATAGCTGCTTGCAGGTAAGGAAGCTTCTGCAAGTCTGATTCTTTGATTAACCGATGAGTGTTTCCTAAAATAGATTTGATCTCGTCTCTGATCTTTGTGAAGATATGTTGATTGTTGATCAGCTCGGTCATTGTCCATTGTAAAGCTGCAGAAGTCGTGTCTAAGCTCGCCATGAACAACTCCTGTAGGCACACATAAGGTTTTAAAGTTTAGCTTAGGCCTGGACGCATTTACCCTGAACCGAAGAAACCGAACCAAACCAAAAAAGTATAATCTAAACCTAACCAAATTTCATAAATATATCTACAGATTCTATATCTCTATAACCGAAACATCCAAAACCGATTAGATACCCAAATTTTAAAATTAGAATTTATATATCTAAAAATACTAGTTACTAGGTGTTGTGCCCGCATATGCGGGCATAATTTTCTTACGAATATTTATTATTTTTTATTCTATTAATTCTAAAATAATATTATAAGTTATTTTCTATAATTTTAAAAAACCTAAATCAAACATTAAAATATTTTTATATGATTTTTCATCAAAATCTATATGCTTATTATAGTGTTGAAAAAATCCACATAATAAAATAGTTTTGAAAATATATTTATATTTTTTTCTTAATATTTAATTTTAAATTGTTTAATAACTTACATTTTTATTTTTCACAATAAAAAATATTATTTTCAGATAACTGTATAATATTCTATAAGATATCTTATGTTTAAATATGCATGAATGTAGATAATTATCCTACTAATTTATAATAAATTAACTAATATAATAACATATAAATTTATATCACTAACATAAAATTTGTCTTTAACTAATTTATATATAAATATATAAATTTCATTAAAGGTATCATTAACTTGAACCGTTTCAATTTTTAATACCTAATATTTAATTATATAATTAAAAATATCTCTATAAAAATGTTTTTGTTTGATTAATATTTAATTAAAATCGATTTTATATTTTAATTTTTAAATTTTATAATATAATGATATTATTTTTAAAAGCCAAAATCAATTTTATATAAAATTAAGATCTATAAGCATTATCATGTTGTTACAATATTATATTCAGATAATAATAACATATATAAGAATTATCTTATTTTGTTTTTTTATAAACTTATTATATTAATTATTCTTTATTATCTAAGATAATAACATATTGTACTTATCTAGTTTTATTTTTTTAAATTTCGTTTTTAATTATAAAATTAGTTATATATAAAAATTTCATTAAGGGTAAAATAAATATTAACCGCTTTAATTTTTAACGTGAGAGCTCCGTCGCGAAAAATCACTTCGCAAATAATAGTATAGATGCTTAGTTTTGTAATAATCAAATATACTGAAAATACAATTTATAAACAGTATTATCCTAATATTGTTTATTCAAAATATTTCAGATTATCTGAATTACCAATATTTTATCCAATTGTCTGAAGTACTCACATAGTTTTCCAAAAAAATCCCAATAATCATAAAAATCATCCAAATTAAGTGAAATTATTTGAAAAATTGAAATTGATACAAAACCTAATTGTATCTCCATTTTCTCGAATATAGTCGGTTACCAACTATATTTACCGAACCAAAACAAATCAAAAACCGAAATAATTGACCGAAATCAAACCAAATTACATAAATAACCGAACTAATCTTCAATCTCTAGAACCGAAAAACAAATAAAAACCAAACTAATCTCAATTCAAAAAAAATAAAACGAACTAAACACCAAAATGCCCATGGCTAGATTAGCTAATGAAAAATTCTTACAAGGATGAAGAATTTGATCTGATTCAGAGTCAGTTTGAGTTCAGCTTTAGGGTCTTTATACGTGTCCAACAAGATATCTACTATGTCTTTATCCTTCTCTCCATCATTAACACTCTTATCATCCTCATAGTGCTTGAGTATCTTCTCAACCAACTCATCGTACCGCCAAATAGAGGATCTAAGCTTCTTACCATTACCAAACACATCTAGATCCCTCAACGGTCCAAATAACTCCATGAGCCCTAACCTTGTGGCGCAAGCCATAATATCACTCACGATCTTCCTTATCTCTATAGGAAGACTCGAGTTCTGGCGGCAACGTTTCCCCATAACCATCTTTGATAGTATCTTCGTGGTCAAAGCAGTGAACTCCAAACCAAGATCACACGCCTCTCCATTCCTAGACTTCTCAATGAGAGATCTAAGCAAAGCTAACGTCTCCTCCTCTCTTATATCAACAAAACGATCGAGCTGATGGCCAGCGAATAGCTTAGTCATGCAAAGCTTTTTCATGAACCTCCAGTAAGGTCCATAAGGTGCGTTGAAGAACTCTGATCCTTTGTAGACATTGAAATGTCTCGGACCAAAGACAAACTTGGAAGCGAAGTCAGGGTCGTGTGTCTTGAGGATTTGTTTAGCTGTGTCGGAATCTGAGACAACGAGGACTTGTAGTGATCCTATGCGTATGTTCATGAGAGGACCGTATGTTTGGGATAAGGCTTGTAGAGATCGTGGAAGGTTTGAACGGAGGAGATGCATGTGACCGAGAAGGAGAAGGGCCTTTGGTCCTGGAGGAAGACCACGGCGGGTGGAGGAGGTGAAGAGTCTTTGAAGAAGGAAGATGGTGATGAATGTGAAGAAGAAATAAGAACACGATGTGTAGTTGATAATGATATCCATATTCTTTTTGTTTGATGATCAAGATAAAACAAAATGTTATATAAATCATAAGCTTATGTAGATTGGAAATTCTATATATATAAAACTTGTCTTGTTGCTATAAAGGATCTAAGAGTACAAGATTCTTGCAGGATAATGACACAGTTTAAAATAGGGGTGTGACGGATCCGGATATCCGAGAAATTTGAAGTATCCGGATCCGGATCCAGATTCGGATTTGTGTCTTTCGGATATCCGGACTTCGGATATCCATCTAGATATTGTGATATCCGCGGGTATCCGGATTCGGATCCATAAAAAAAATTAATTTTTTTTTTAGAAAAATAAAAAATTCTAAAAATAATAAATAAACTAAATATTTATGATTTATGAATATATATGACATATAATATTATTAATATAAAAGTAAAATATTATTAAATTTATTTTATGTATAAATATTAATATATCAGATATAATTAATAATAACATAAAAATTAATATATATTTTAAAATACGGATCCGAATCCGGATATCCGGACCTAAAAATTAAGATATCCGGATGCGATTTGCACGGATCCGAGATTTTACTATCTGGATTTGGATCCGAACACTCCTGGATATCCCAATTTCAGAGTGGATCCGGAGCGGATCTCGGACCGAATCCGGATCCCGGATAAAAGTCTCAGGCTTAGTTTAAACTGTACAATAAACTTTTTGAGCCGAAACTTCTACATGGCGCAGAGTGTCTCCAATCTTTCTCGAGTTTGAAACCTTCTGCCTCAGCCAGTAAGATTAGCCACGCTGACTTTTACCTACTTTTACTTTGTACCACTAGAAAGAGAATCTGAGAACAAGCCAGCTTTTTAACTATTTTTCTTTTCTAGATAAACCTCACTTTTGTTACAAATAACTTTTTAGTCCTTTTTACATAGGACTTTAGATCGGACAGACACACTCAGATGGCTGTTGGATTCGTCTGATCGGCCAATCAAAGAATGGATAAGGAGGAAATCAATGACGTGTACATGAATTTAAAGAAAACTCAAAAAAACGATAAACAATGTTGGTTTAGTTTTGTAATTATAAGAGAATAGGGTTCGTTATGTAAATCAGAGAAATATACGGGTTTATTTTGAAAATTTCGATAAATTCATGGGAGAGGTTCTGTTCTGTCTTTGGGAACTGGTAGCCATTATTATTTCTATAGACAAAACGACGTCTTATCAGAGATTGGAATTTCAGATCGTCTCTCTCTCTCTGTCTCTGCTTCTTGTTTTCAAGGTGTGACCTTTCTTCCTCAAAAGCAACTTTCTTTCTAGGGTTTTCTCTGCTGTTTGTTGTTCCACAGTGATTTAGAAACTACTCTCTAACTTTGTGTGTTTGACTTAGAAGCTAACCTAGTTGACTTAAAACAACCTTATAAAGAGTTTCAGCTTCAGATATTTGGATTTAACGTTAATTCTGTTTCAGAGATTAGATGAGATGAGTTTATTGGCTTCAATTAATAGCTGCAGCTTCACTTCTCTGGTGCTTGTTTTTTTTTGAATCGTTGTTTTTTTTTGTACTTTAATTTCATGTGAATACTGAGTCAACTCGGATGTGAATGTACACTTCAAAGTAGTTTTTTCGTCTAATTGGTGTTGCAAAACGAATTACTGAAGTTACTTCACTGTCATTAAGAAGTGAAATTGATCTGTTCTTTATTTAATTTTTTACTTTAATGAACCAACCAAGAACTTGTTCAAAATGTGTGTGTGACTTTGTTTAGTTTACAAACGCAAGCGTTTTCGACTGTGCTCAGTGATTTGGATCTTTATTTAAATTTGTCTAACGATGACATGAGAGAGTGATGTAACGTTTTTATTTGTTCCACTTTCTTGATGAGTTGGCTTTTGGCATGGGATATTAGTTACTCTTATTTATTAGGATTAGAGAAATATAAGCTGAATCTGATTGACACTCTTACTTGGACAGCATTTACTCCGTCTGATGTAATTCTGTGAGTGCACGAGGAAATTTCTAGAGGGTACAACTATTTAGTTACGAAGATTTGGATGAAATAATAAAAGAAAAAATGGGAGATACAAGTCCAAGAACATCAGGCTCAACAGATGGCGACATGGATCAAAACATCATAATGGTTAGCTTGTTAAATTATGCTCATTAAATTGGCCATAGTTTATTAAATGAGACAGTGTTTCTGCAGTACGATGGAGGAAATATGGGTGATTCTAGCGACCGTTCAAAGGAAAAAATGGATCAAAAGGTGATAGTTACATACATTTGCTATGTAGGAACAGTTTGTCTTTCTAGTTGACCCTTTTTCAGTTATGTTTTTATTTTCTTGTTAACTGTAATCAACAGACGGTTCGTAGGCTTGCTCAAAACCGTGAGGCTGCAAGAAAAAGCAGATTGAGGAAGAAAGTATGCTTTAATACTTTTATTTCAACTTTTCTTTTATGTTTTCTTACAAGCATATGGCTATTTGCAAACGTTGAGATGTTTGTTGGGTATTGCACTTTTCAGGCATATGTTCAGCAGCTTGAGAACAGCCGATTGAAGCTAACACAGCTTGAGCAGGAGCTGCAAAGAGCTAGGCAACAAGGTGTATTTATCTCAAGCTCTGGAGACCAATCCCATTCTACTGCTGGAAATGGTTAGTTGGTCTGAATCTCTATCCATAGAGTTTTATTTGCTGCAATTTTTCTATGGATTTGATGAAGTTATGTTTGTTATCAAGTACTGAGAACTAATTTAGCTGATGGTGATGATTAATCTCTATTATAGGGGCAATGGCATTTGATGCGGAATACAGACGCTGGCAGGAAGACAAAAACAGAAAGATGAAGGAGCTGAGTTCTGCTTTGGATTCTCATGCGAGTGAAGCTGAGCTTAGGATCATTGTAGACGCAGTATTAGCTCATTATGAGGAGCTTTTCAGGATAAAAAGCAACGCAGCTAAGAACGATGTGTTCCATTTACTATCAGGGATGTGGAAAACACCCGCTGAGAGATGTTTCTTGTGGCTTGGCGGTTTTCGTTCATCAGATCTTCTCAAGGTAGAAAGACTAGTAGTTAAGGGAGAAACGGTTTCTTTCACTCCATCCGATTAATATATTTCAATTTTCTTATTACAGCTTATAGCGAGTCAGGTGGAGCCATTGACAGAACAACAATCACAAGACCTAAACAACTTGCAAGAGACCTCTCAACAAGCAGAAGATGCTTTGTCTCAAGGTATGGACAGCTTACAGCAATCACTCTCTGAAACTTTATCTAGCGGGACTCTTGGTTCAAGCTCATCAGGGAATGTAGCTAACTACATGGGTCAGATGGCCATGGCGATGGGGAAGTTAGGTACACTTGAAGGATTCATCCGACAGGTAACGTTACAGATTGTGTTTTACATGTACTTGTAGTAAGTTCTGATAAGAGCCATATGTTTTTGTGCTGTGGCAGGCTGATAACTTGAGGCTACAAACATATCAACAAATGTTGAGAAAATTAACAACCAGACAATCAGCTAGGGCTCTACTTGCGATACATGAGTATTCATTGCGGTTACGTGCTCTTAGCTCTCTATGGCTTGCCAGACCAAGAGAGTGATGAACCATATCACACCAACTATTTTAGTCTTTACCTTCAAAGAAGGCCTACAAAATTTGAGATTCCTTAAAAGATTCTTAGCATATTATGATTTGATGATTCTGAACATCTGGCTCTTATACTATAGTGTATGATTAGATTGGTATTGTGTTGTATTGTGTTGAGATTATAAAGTTTTTTTTTGGAAAAAGTAACTTCAAACATAATCTGAGCCACAAACATAAGTTAAAACCTCAAGAGCTCTCCACTTCCAACTTACTTTGCTCTTTGTCTTTCTCTCCACTCACAAATCTTCTAGATAGACAGGGGTGAGTTCTTGCTATTTATGTAAGTCTTATAGATTTTTTGTCCTAATGGTTTTTGAATATAGTCAACATGGGATTTGAATGAGCAGGTGAAAAACTAATCATGGATCATTATTCGAGGACAAACTCAGAGGATGTAGTTGTGCCTAAATATCAGAAGAGGATGGAGCATTAACTTTCAGAAAGCTGCAGAGAAATGCTTAGACTTTGATGTGACTAACAAATGTTCCATTACAACAACTGAGCAACTTGTCATGACATGCCTCTTTATGGTAAAAGACATTACTATTTTAAATATTTTGGTATACTAGTAGAGATGTTAAAATTCTGGAACATTGAAGGAGGAGGAGGTACCAATGAAGATCTCGGATAATATGGAGGAACCATCTACAGAATAAGTAGTGTTGCATGATCTACGGAGAGCTACAGAAAAAAGTGAGTGTGATGATCATGATCTTTGCCAACAATCTTGGTTTGAGATATTCTGATATTTGAGTCATGTAACACCAAACTTGAAATCTTTTGTTTATTATGTAGTTGACTGATGATACTCGCAAATGCTTCCGAGATTCCTTTTACTACCTTGCCAAGAACTCCCAACACAAGTTTGAATCAGGGAACACCAACTTGGAGGAGTTCCTTGTAGACAAAAACCAGGTAGTGATATTTTTCTTCATTTATCTGCTTATAGATGGACTTGTCTAATCAGCTTCGTTGACTTCGTTCCTAGATTATTTACCGAGTGAAAATACATATATTATGTTAATGAACTTGCCTGATCTACCTAAAATTAGTCAAAAAAAAAAAAAAATTCTTCTATTTAAAAATATTCCAAGGAGACACAGAAACATAAGTAAGTGGGAAACAACCTTCGAAACAGCAGCGCAGATAACTAGTCGCACGACCAAACATACACAACAAACAAACAGCTCTTACTTCTCACCAAAACAAAACTTAGATTAATCAGAGATATATGCCCCCGACCATAAACTTGAACCGGCGAAACCCAAATATAATTTGTATATCTATAAGAAAGAGTCGCAGACAAAAACATACACGTTTGCAAACTAAACAAAAAAGATTTGAACTCCAACGTGCGTTCCATTAGCTCCCAAACATTGTATAAAGATTTGGTCACTCATTTCAATCTTAGAAAAAAAAAAGTTCCATTTATTTTTTTCTCTCTCTCTCTCTCGTAAAATGGCAACACCACCGTTAACACCAAGGATGCTAACACCAACAACACAATCACCTCTCGGTAGTCCACGCTCCAAAAAATCAACCGCCACCGTAATGCCAGAGATAACCTTAGAACAACCGTCAAGCAAAAACAAAACCCCCGGCTCCAAATCAACAAAACTCTTCCGCCGCGTCCGCTCCGCGTTCCGATCCCTCCCGATCATGTCCCCGATGTGCAAACTCCCCATGGGAGGCGCGCGTCTCCACGAGAACCACGTCCACGGAGGGACACGCGTCACGGGGACACTGTTCGGGTACAGGAAAACGCGGGTTAACCTGGCTGTCCAGGAGAACCCGCGTTCTCTCCCGATACTCCTGCTGGAGCTTGCCATCCCCACGGGGAAGCTTTTGCAAGATCTTGGGGTTGGACTTGTGAGGATCGCGCTCGAGTGCGAGAAGAAACCGAGTGAGAAGACCAAGATTGTTGACGAGCCGATATGGGCGTTGTATTGTAACGGGAAGAAGTCGGGTTACGGGGTTAAGAGAGAGGCCACGGAGGAGGATCTGGTCGTGATGCAGATGCTTCATGCGGTTTCGATGGGAGCTGGTGTGTTGCCGGTGACAAGCGGAGGAGGAGGAGGAGGAGGAGGAGGAGGAGGGCAAGAAGGAGATTTGACTTATATGAGAGCGCATTTTGAGAGAGTGATTGGGTCGAGAGACTCGGAGACTTATTACATGATGAACCCTGATGGTAACAGTGGTCCTGAGCTCAGTATCTTTTTCGTTCGGGTTTAAATTCGTTTTTAGGGGAAGCAAGCAAAACAATGCCATATACGTGCGTCTCATTAATCATTTTGCATATGCTATTTCTTTTGTTTTATGTTTTTGCTTTGTTGATCACTTGAGATGATTAATTGGTGATGTAAAGACATGAATTAATATATACTCAGACATCCTCTGTGGCTGTGGGAGAAATGGTTGGAGAACTCAAGAGATGATTATGTAATCTAATGTATATCAACATTTAATTCATTACCACCGAATGTGAAATGCTAGTGATTTAAAATGTGTATATATATATGTTGGTCATGTTGTGCTCGTACTTCAAATTCGTTGGAAATAATATTTTACCACATATCTCTAGACTCAAATATTAGTGTAGAACCTTAACATTAGTAAGTTATTCCAAATTCGCATTAACCAGTGTGGTATGAAAATAGTAAGTGAATTATCGACAATATCAGTTGATAAGATATATAAAAAAAAATTATTAGTGTATAATAGTTTCGGATAAGAAAAAAGAAGAAGATAAACTCTAAAGTCCAAATTCATAATTAACAGTTTACCATAAAAAAACACAATTAACCCACAAAAATCTAAATCATTGGTGTTTCTTGGCTTGTTATGACTATGCACACATGACGGGAAATACATAATGTCTAGAGAACATGCATATGTATAAATACATTAAGGAACACCCAAAGTAAAACATTAAGGTAAAAACAAACTTTTAAACACACATATAATGGCAAGCATAATGATACTTATTGAAATAAAAACCGACAAACTAACAATTGTTCACGTTGATGCATTGCTTAATAAACCGTGTCTTTAACTTTTGTTGTCTTTTAATACTGGCTTTGAGTCAAAGGGGCACCTTAGAAACGTGAAGACGTGCATGGCCTTGTTCAGCAATACCTGAAAGTGAGACCTGTTCCACCTAACTTGTCATCCACTAAGGCTGACAATCTCTCAGCTTGTGGAGGCGACAAATAGTTTACCCAATCACTCACTTCTCCTTTCCTAAACAAGTGTCTATTCTCAAAGTTCTTGATCGATTTACCTGCCTTGTTCACCTCCAACTTCTTTAAACTCTCAAAGCTACAAAGCTCCGTGATTGCCTTCACAACACCATTTCCTTCCTCTTCTTCCGTGAAAGGAACGCCCAAGAAACTTGCAAGCTTCCTCAAGTTAAACTCTATGTCTTCTTTAAGATCTTCGTAACGTAAGAACAAGACTTTATCTGGTATCTTCAAGCTCTCTTTCCAGTACCCCAACATGTGTTCCCAGAACGGACCAAAACCTATCACTCCTCGGCAGTACAGATCGAACCCTTCTTCTAACGAGACAGGACTCACTGACTCTGACTTTATGCTGTTGGTGTAATGCCACGAGGAGATGAATGTGTCGAACGGGTTCCGGCATAAGTACACGACCTTCACGCCAGGTTTCTCTATGGAACCCTCCAGAGAACCGAAAGGGACGTGTGTTGCGAATGTTCTTGGACTGGCTAGGCCGGAGAGATCAGGAACATCTCCGTTCGCGTAAAGCTTGTACTCCAAGAAAGGTACTAGGTCATGAGGGTTGGATGTTAGGAGAGGGTGGTCGGTGGTTGAGGAAACCGGATTAAACCGGTGTCGGTTAAGGAGTGTATAAGTTAAAGCTTTTAACCATGTTGTACCGGATTTTGGTATGCTTGCAATGATTACATCGTTTTGGAGTGACTTGAAATGTTTTTGGAAGGACATGATAGCTTGAATCTCCTTGGATTGGCACCAAAACCCTTGGAATAAGTAAAGGTAACGAGTTCTCCAACCTCTCTCCTTAGGAAGTGACTCCAGCATCTCTCGGAACTCGTAGCTTAGCTCTTCTTCTTCTCTGTCTCCTTGACGTTTTGGGTCTAGGCTTTTGCCATCTTCTTTGAGGAGCTCAAGCTTGTGGCACACGTTGAAGTTTGGAATCGCCATTATAGGAATGGTTTTGATGCTTGAGGTCGCCATTGTCTTTGTCTTATAAAAAGAAAGGAACGGTTTATTATATTGTTTGAATCAATTGTTTGGGTTTTGTTTGATATATTTTTCGTGAGTATAGTTGGCTGTTTATATAATGACGCAAATGCATGAAGATGGCAGCATGTGTTGTAATCGCGCACGTGGGAAATAAACGGCGTATGCGAATATTAGGTTAGGCCCACGCTACTTTTACACTACTTTCTAAAAAGAGAGTGTTGTGTTCTCCTTGGAGTTAGTGTAGGTTTGGTTTGTTGCTTTCTCATTTGTTTTGGTCCCATTATTGTCGGCAGACACAACTTTGGACTTCTTCATCTACTTAAAAACGGCCAAACAATGCAACAATTATCATGCTTACTTGGTTCTCTCTTTAACTTTATTTATGATTGCTACCAATATCATGTTTCAACAATTAAACCATGCGGTTTTAAAGGGCAAAGATTGGGTATCATTCTAATGGCAGTGAACTCAACTTTACCGATTTAAATTTTGCAGATGGTAGTATATAGTTGTTTAATCGAACTAGTAATCATTTTATGAATACACAACAAAATCTTAAGAGATGAATCATTCTGTGAATAAATAGTCATTTAAAAACCACAATATACGTGTTAATTATAACGAGTTTGCGGACCCGCAGTTATTCACGTACACATCAGGCTTAAGATGTCGATGAAGTTATTCCAAATCTGGACAGAGGAAATAAATACCCCTAACGGATGGACGACAATTATAGCTATAATACAAATAAAATATCTACAGTTTGTTTTTGTCAACAAGTAAAACTAATATGCTTTTCAAGTTTTGTCTATAACGATGAATATAAGACTGAAATGGGCACTTGATTTAGTTTTGTATATTCCTTCCAACGTGAGATTTTTTATGGAAGTGGGTTATTATCAACATGAGAAAGGTTTTTCGATTAAAGGGGAAATTTCTTATCTCAATTGTCTTGGTATATACATTAGCTAAAGTGGCCGAGTGGTAACGACCGACCTGTAAAGTCTACCATTAAAGGGACGCGGGTTCGAATGTCGGCCATATCGAATGTCACAATATGGTCATGGAGTGTTTTACGCCACTTAAAGGTATCAACAAAGGCTGACTCCGGGTCTAGGATGATTAAGGATCCTCGCGGATGGAACATCCTAGTTTAAAAAAACAAAAAAAAAAAATATATATATATATATATATATAGATTAACTTATATATCATATCAATTGTACTATTATTATAATTTTTTGTTTAACAACATACTATTTTAATTATGATAAGAATCTTTTTTAAAGGCTACGCATGCACATGCACAAGAAAAAGGACAAATTTGATATGTATAACATGTTTAATTAATGGTTTTAATATTCCCTGGTAAAGAAGTTTATTTGGATACGAACACTGATCTGTCTTTGCTTCACCTTTTTCTTAATCTTTATCTTTTTGTAAGTTTATTTTTGTAAAATCTATCTTTGGAACTTTAAAAAGTCTTCATCTTTGGAAGTTGAATATTAAGGACGAATCATGTTCTGTTCAAGCACACTCACAGAGTCACAGTCCCATATTAATGAAATAACCACTCCCATCCCACGTGGTATCACGTTCACTTCCGCACCTCATGTATATGTAATGGACCAACTTTCTTCGTTGGGTATCGCTGTCAAGCAAAAGAACAAAAACATATACGCCTATAGCTGAGTACCCACACCTTGTATTGGGACAACACTTATATACAGTCCTTTTGAAGATATACAAAATAATCATTCTATTCTTTTTACCAAAAATGTATATTGTTGCCAAAAACGAATCCACAAAATGTGATAAAAATGTAAGATTTCTAAGATTGGCTCCACTGCAAAAAAATAACTAAAAACAAAGACAATTGATATACTAACTGTTAATCTTGATAGTGAATACAACTACAAGTAATTACGCCATGGGTTTTCAGCTATCATTTTGGTTTGGAATGCATATTTTGAGTATTTGGTAGTTCGGATAAGAGATTAGAAGATCTATATATGAATCAGCAAATTTTAAAATCTGATGGATTGGTTGGAGTAGTTTTAGGTTCGGGTCAGTTTGTATAACATAACTAGGAATGTTTGATACCTAAAGAAATTTTGTTCTCGTTTGATTCGGGTTTAGTTTGGATATTTCAGATAATCAAATAAATTGGTAAAATATTGGATATTTCATAAAATATCGAATAATTAAGATGATTCAAATTAAAATCTCAAATAGTTTTGGTGATTTTTTGATATTTCAGATAAAAACTATCCAAAATTAGTTTTGGTTAGTTCAAATATTTTTTTGATATGTGTTTTTTCAAAATTTCTGATACTTAATTTTAAGAGATTTTAAATTATATATAGTTATTTTATATGTACATACTACATGTAATATATGCGATCGGGATGGACAATTCCACATATGATTCCACAATAAAACTTTCTCCAGAACACTTGGATCGACGAACGTATGACATCTTTGATGGATATACCCACTCTGCAGCAGATGATTCCAACTAAAGACTCTGCCTGTAATACTTTGAAACTTCCGATATGCTTGCATTTTATAATATGTAAAATATTGTGTTGTTTGAGTTTAAGACCCCAAATTTTGGGGTAGAAACTTTTAATCTTTAATCACTAGACTACGGTATTTCCAGATATTCCTTCAAATTTTGGTCGGGTTCGTGTTTGGTTAATTCGAATATAGAAATATAGAAAAATTTTGGATATTTGAAAATTTCTGTCCGTTTTTGATTATTGTTCAGTTCAGAGTATTGGTTCTGTTTTTTTTTTTTTTTGCGCAGCGCATGAAATAACAATACAATTTTGTAAAAGTATCATCTTTGACAAGCAGGGTCGACCAAAACTTTAATAAAACCTTACTTAAAATAAAATTTTGGACACTTTTCCTTTAAAGTAAATTGGCCAATTTTCTTAAGCTAAAAAATCTCAAAATCATTATGGGCCTAAACAGTTTGTTATTTTGCCTGTAGACAAGTATGACATAGTAGTGATAAAGATATTAAGAGCTGAATTATATATATCGACATGCCGTAAGACGCACCACTCCGATATATGTATGATGTGTTTCATGCATTAGGGAAGTGGAGCCTACTACCTATGTTGCTTTCTTTATTCTATTCTTTTTGTTATCTCTCAAGTCGACACATATAGACAAGCAGTTGAGTGACTTGCGGCGTACTTTAATGGAGAAAGATACATTATCTTTTGATTAAGACAGCACTAAATCAAGTCCATGACATTACACTTCATCCATTGTCTGGTCTACAAAGTTGCGTGAACTGATTTTTTCCCTCGTGTTTATCGACTAAGGATTTAGATGGATGGGTCAAAAAGTAAAACCAATACGTATTGCTTTTTCAATACTTTTTTCAGTAAACGTGTTTTAGCTCAAAACCCATAGAAGTAGACCTAAGAGTAATAAGGGCGAATGGTTTTCATTTTGAAAACCAAAGGAGATGACTATAGAGCACCTAGAAGGTCCAAAACCTTTACAAAATGCATAATATCATATAATTATATAGGCTTAACTTCATCTTTACACAACACATATCCGAATCCTAGGCTAATCCCTTAGTTGCTACTTGCTGTCTGAACAGAAGACGCCTCCTCCAGTTGAGACTCATTGGCCATGGTTTCTTGCTGAACCACCGGTGGAGCTTCCGTGAGGGAAGGGGCAGAAGCTTGAACAGTTTCCAAAGGCTTGAACTTGTTGCTGTAGTAGCTAAGAGACGGTCCACTGTAATCCACTGCTTTTGGTCGAGCAGGGGCATCTTTCCCGACTTGGAGGAGTATAGAGGAAGCAGCAGCGACTGCGATAAGGCCATAAGGGCAAGACCTCCTACGATTGCTGCTGTGTTCTCAGCCCCATCAGACGAAAATCCTGCAGTTCCTGAGCTTATGGCGCTCTCCGCAACATACACTGCAGGCTGCAAAAAAAATAACATGAAAAGATATTCTTCAGCAACAAAAAAAAAAGCAATAGAATTGAGTCAATACATAGTAAGGAACAAGGCAGTAGAATTAGACCAAGAACACCATAACAAATAAGACCAAATATAGCACTAGACTAATACAAGCAAGAAGCTTAACATTTTGTTGAAGAGATCAACTAACTAGCTCTCAGCCATACAAGAAACTGGTCAAAGAAACACACCTAATCTCTTCATCCTTGGCCTACTTATTACAATGCTTCTACTATAGTCTAATGTCTATTCCAAAGCTTGAAGCTTCCTCCAGCCAACCATTCCATACTCAGTGTCCCAACCTGTGTTTCAACTTTCAACCCAAAAGTCAGTCAGAGATCATTGACTTCGCATTAAACAAGAACATTTCAACTGTACACTTCATAAAATAAAATAAAAATTCTAGCCAAAATTTCGAAACTTTATTACAAAAAAAAAAATGGAACTTTATACTCATGGTGATTTGAGCTAAGAAGGAATCATCACATTTACAGCTTTTTACTGAAAACAAATCCAATTTATTGAGAATCATTACCTCCTTATCAGGAGCACATTCCTCAGCATTACAATCAGGATCATCATCGGAAGAAACTCTAACAATGGAGACGAAAAGTTTCTGAGGAATCTGCAAAGAGGCTTAGGAGATGCCAAAACGCAGCCGTTTGGGGATAGCAAGACAGTGGAAGTACAAGACATGTTTAGGTGGGGAAAGATTCTGCTGGTGTGTGGTCTATCTCTCTGAGGCTGAGGAGGACGAGACTGAAAAGACGATCATGTGTCTTGTCTTGTGTAGTGGGCTTTTCAATAGTGTAAGTGCTCATCACTAAAATCGATGCCCAACATAGGCCCATGTTCGGTATGTCCTCAAATAGAGTTTTAAACAAAAAAATTGGTGCAATGTTAAGATACAAAGATAAAGTTTATGAAAATAAAACGGGTGTACAATCTATTTCCCCATGAAAACTATGATGTAGCACTAGATTCCTACCAAACCATGATCTCGTGCTAAATATCCGTGATTTAAAAATTCTAAACGGGTGGACAATCTATTTTATTAAATAATTTATTTAGTAGAAATAAAAATTGTTCTTGCTGGACTTCAATGGTGTCGACATTGCTCTTAGAGTCAGTCAACGTTATCATTTTCTGGTTTCTTGCTGGAATATAACTACTCAAGAGAAACAAAAAACAAATTAATCAATTAGCTATTACTCTCAAAATCTAAAACAATATTAAATTATTAAGTTAGAGCCATGAATATCACGAGGTTTGTTCTTCTTCATCGAGCTTCTTTCGCCGTTGATGACCGATGCAACATCCCTTCGCTTCTCATTATTCATGTTTTGTTTCAGTTTGTTGCATTTACGCTCCGACCTCCATCTTTCTTCTTTGTGAAATTTTTTGATTCACGGCATCTCAGAAGCCATCACAACAATACGATGCATGATTCTAGAATCATCCAACCAACACCCTGACACTACTCTTAATCAAATCTGACTAGAATTAACCTTTTTAGTTTTATCAAAACATAATTATTTTCTTTGAAATTTTTTTTTTTATAAAAAATGAATTTTGGTTTGGTTTAGCCGGTTTAACATTATTTGGTTAATAATAACCAATTAAAACATGGTATGTATGTAATTAAGTTTAAAATTATCGGTTCAGAGATAAATAGATTCGAATTATTAATTCGGAGGAGGGAAATAGGTTTAGAATTTTTAAATCATGAATATTTAGTACGAGGTCATAGTTTGGTGGGAATCTAGTGCTATATCATAATTCTCGTGGGGAACTAGATCGTCGACCCAAACAAAACAGTGTGGAAAGTTGTATATACTTTACAGTTTACAGGATTATTATATCACACTACATTCACAACATCCTGATATTGTATCAACCAAACACCTCAATAGATTCACAAACGCTGCTCACCAAAACACAACAAAAGGTTTGTTATGCAAATGAAACCATTAACCATGCAACACCAGCTCCTCCTCCTCCTTTTCTCCTTGCCAAACCCATACAATATCAGCCAGGGCAGGCCTAAGTTCCTCCTCCACCAGGTTCTGATACTCCACAGTATCTCCATTACATTTCTTCACTTCAACCAAGTGAAACGTCTCCGCCACTTCAAATATCTCTGCATCAATCAACAACCTCCCTTTCCTTCCCTCCTTTGCTCCTTCCAATTTAAACAACCCTGCCTCCTGCTTTCTTATCTTCAGCTTCAGCCCTCTAGCCACCTCCTCCAGCTTAGAAATAATCTCTGAAGCAGGCTTTCTAGACGTGAATTTAGACTCTTGCTTCTTGTACATTTTTCCAAACAGTCCTCCTAGGTCAAACCCTGTTGACAATGATATAATATCAAAAGCGTTCAAGCTTGCAAGCTGTGGCGGTGGTGGTGTCTCGTGGCTTTCACCTGAACTTCCAGCTTCCAGGGGATTATTAACCTCTCTGGATAGTTTCTTGTGCTTTAAGTGTAACCCTTTCTTGAACCAAGAACTCTCCTTGATTCTTGACATGGTGACTCTCGTCTCATGGTTAGGATCAAGCATCTTACACAACAGCCTCTTCGCTTCAACGGGAATCCCGCGTGGACATTTAAACTGTCCTTTACCAATCTTCATGTACATATCCATTAGATTTGAGTCATAGAAAGGGAGATAACCAGCCAAAAGAACAAACAAGACAACCCCACAAGCCCAAACATCAGCTTTAGTGCCATCATAAGCTTGACGGTTCACAATCTCAGGACAAACATAAGCATGTGTTCCACAAGCTGTATGAAGGAGACCGTCTTCACGGTTAGACTCCTCAAGCGCGCTTAAACCAAAGTCAGACACCTTGAGATTATCATTCTCGTCGAGCAAGAGATTCTCTGGCTTGATGTCACGGTGATACACTCCCCTGCTGTGACAAAAGTCAACCGCGTTGATGAGCTGATGAAAGTACTTCCAAGCAACTTTCTCGCTCACTTTTTCTTTCAGAATCTTTTCGAAGAGCTCTCCACCTTTGCAGTATTCTAGGATAAGGTAGATCTTTGTTTTGGTTGCCATGACTTCGTGTAGCTCAACGACGTTAGGGTGTTTAGCGAGACTCATCACGGTGATCTCTCTCTTGATCTGCTCGATATGGCTAGGTTTCTTGATTTTCTCCTTGTCTATCATCTTGATAGCTACACTCTTGTTGGTATGAATACTTCTTCCGTAGAATACCTTGGCGAAGTTACCTTGACCTAATAGTCTCCCAACGTCGTATCTGTCAGTTAAGATACTTGGTTTGTTCTCCATCCTAATCCACACAAGAAGCTGAGAAGCAAAGCGAGTTTGTATATATAGCAATAGAGAGGGAAGGAGAATGATTTTACCTCTTCTGCTATGATAAAGATAGAGTCTTATGGATGAAGCCAAACACACAAGAGAAGGCGTGTGAATCTCTGCTTTGACCTCTGCTCATCTTTGTCTTGGTTAAATTATAATTGTGCTTTGGTGTTTCCTACGCGAGTAAGGAAACATTCAAATTCAAAAAATGTTACATATAGTATCCTGTGGACTCGTCCACCTAACGCACATGTTGTTTAGAAGACAAAGTCTAAGTTATGAAATTGTTTAACTCAAAAGCGTACATTGTTAATAAGGATTTGCTTACACATTCTCTGCTTCCTCTTGCTATTGTACGAATTAAAACATTAAGAAATGTATATAAAAGTGGTCAAGTGAACACAAGTTAAAAGGGCTTGTGGTTTGTTACAAAAATGAAACTATTTAATTACAACTTTGTCAGGCTATGTGAAAAATCAAGTTATGAAATTGTACAATTATTTTACCTCTGCTTTTGTTTGTCACATCTTAAAGGGAGAGTGTTCTTGATGGTGCGTGTGTCTTCACTTCTTCATATTCCTGCTACAATGGTTCACAGTGTTGTTCTTACTTCTTGTTCATCCTGCAAAACCACGCTTTGGCTGCTCGTCCTATCTCCATTACATTAAAAATCATGAGATTGAGAAACAAAACCAAGAAATACACAAATAGAGAGAAGTAAATTACCTCTAATGAAGCCGATTCGATCAAATAAAGTATTCATCTTTGGCTTTGACAAGCGCATCAGCTCTGTGCTTCTCTGTGTTGATATTTAAAAAAAGAAAACATTTATCCTTGTATTTTGGGCTGTAGAAGATCCCGGTTAGTTTTATATTTGTAAATGGGCCCGTGATAATTTAATAAGCCCAATATTTATAAGAGTGAACAAAATCTAGGGTTTCAGATTTCTTTTTATCTCTTTGATATATTATCGTAGAGGGAGCCGTGTACTGCCGCCACAGAGGAAGAAGAAGTTCGTCGTCTGCTCCAAATCAACTGCAAAAATGGTTCGTGTGCAAACCTCTTTCTTAGCTCTTAGCTTATGTTTATCTGTGTCTCTTGTGCGTTCAGTGATTGCTCAGACATGTATATTCAAACTATGAGCGTGTTGTCAGTGTCCTAGGATCAGTGGCCACTCTAGTTTACTCTTAATGTAGATTGAACTCTCACTGCTGTGTTTGAAAATTGATATTTTTGGCTAATGTCCTTATGACAAGACTATCAAATGTAATGGTTTTGTATTTTAATTTACTTGGCTGGTTCTTTAGCTTGTGTCTGTTTTTTAATGTTAAAAAATTTGCAGGCAAGGGGATTGAAGAAGCATTTGAAGAGGCTCAATGCACCCAAGCATTGGATGCTTGACAAACTTGGTGGTGCCTTCGTACGTTTTCTTCCTCTCAATAACTTGTTTTAAGAAGACCATTTTATTTACAAAATACTTGTGTAACATGTTGTCTTAAAATTGTTCATGATGATGCTGTTTCTTGCAGGCTCCCAAGCCCTCTTCTGGACCTCACAAGTCGAGGGAGTGTCTTCCTCTTGTTCTGATTATCAGGAACAGGTTGAAGTATGCTTTAACATACCGTGAAGTCATCTCCATCCTGATGCAAAGGCATATCCAAGTTGATGGTAAAGTGAGAACTGATAAGACTTACCCTGCTGGCTTCATGGGTATGTCTCTACTCTCTCTTCCCCTTTTGTTTCACATTTATGTTGAGTACTGTCCTAAACTGCATTTCGTTATGAATAGATGTTGTCTCCATCCCCAAGACCAATGAGAACTTCCGTCTTCTCTATGACACCAAGGGACGTTTCCGTCTCCACTCCATCAGAGATGAGGAAGCTAAGGTAAATCTTGAGCATTTCTAAACAAAACTCTTGAGTAATGATTGGAGTCAGAAGAATAATGTGAGTTGTTGCACCTTGCAGTTCAAGCTTTGCAAGGTTAGGACTATTCAGTTTGGACAAAAGGGAATCCCTTACCTCAACACTTACGATGGTCGCACCATCCGTTACCCTGACCCGCTCATCAAACCAAACGACACCATCAAGCTCGACCTTGAGGAGAACAAGATTGTGGAGTTTATCAAGTTTGACGTTGGTAACGTTGTGATGGTGACTGGGGGTAGAAACAGAGGGCGTGTTGGTGTGATTAAGAACCGTGAGAAGCATAAGGGAAGCTTTGAGACAATACATATTCAAGACTCAACAGGACATGAGTTTGCCACAAGGTTGGGTAATGTGTTTACTCTCGGGAAAGGAACTAAGCCATGGGTTTCTCTTCCAAAGGGCAAAGGTATTAAGCTGACCATCATTGAAGAAGCCAGGAAGAGGCTTTCGGGTCAACAAGCTGCTTAAAAAGTTGAATCATCCAAGACTTTTTGTTCGCTTCTTGCTTTAGTTTTGAGCGTTTTCCTATTACATGTTTTCTTGCTTGCAGCAGCTAAACATTTTAGAGCGTTTTGTAATGTTTGTAAGGATATTTTTAAAGTACTCTTCAAATTCATTGACGTTTGATGTGTATTACATGCAAGACGAAGCTGCAATGTCAATGAATCAATAAGGTGATCACTAGCATGTGCATTCAAACTATGAAAGTGAGATTTTGATTTGTTACTAGTTTGTCACCGCATAATAAGGACGGCTCTATTGGCTTCTACCGTGGACTCAACAAAGTCAAGCTCCAAACATAGAAAGACCAATCTTTTCAAACCATTCCTTAAGTTAAGTATGAACTACTTCATTTGCTTTGCATTCTTGTGTTTGTCCATTTATGAATTGAATTATATATGTTTTTATTTATTTGTAACATTCAATGACTGTGGAGCTACAAAACAAACATGTAAGCCGCCTTATAAAAGTCAAAACATTTGGGTGTTTAAACTAAACACGCTTCACACTAAGTCACATGTATAATCCTTTATAATTGTTTGATCTTTCCTATCTCACTTAGTCAAATATCATTCCCTTACTTTCCTGGAAACTTCCTCCTCTGCAGTAAAGGAAAGAAGAAGAAGAGTATCAGATACAGTAAACCATTGATGGGCTCTTTTAACCAGCAAAGGTCTGTCTCCAAGTTCAAATCAGCAACTCCCTCGCCACTCCCTCTCTCTTCCTACTTCTCTTTGCCTCCTGGTCTTACACACGCCGACCTTCTTGACTCTCCTCTTCTCTTCACTTCCTCTAACGTACGTTCCCTTCTCTATTATCAGTTGACTATTCATTTTCTACTTCAAGAACTGATTTGCCTTTTTCTCTTGGGATTGTTGAACAACTTAATGTCTTAAGTTTCCTGTTCTTTTAGTTTTAAAGCAACTCCTGTCTTGTTCATTTCTCTTGTCTTCTGCCTGAGTCCCTCACAATCTTTTCCTTATGTTTACCATGTTTCTTCCTTAAACCACAGATTTTGCCATCTCCAACGACAGGCACGTTTCCTGAGAAGTCTCTGAACTGGAAGAACAAAGTTTTGCTCACCAACCAGAATGAAATCAAAGCTGAAGATGGGAAGGACCACTCTGATTTTTCCTTCACTACCAACCAGACATCTCCTCCTTTGTTCCTATCTCATTTACAGACAAGAGATCAGCCTTTACCTCAAGTGGATGTACCCAAATTTGAGTCATCGCATACAGGTAACAAAACCTCTGAAGATGGATACAACTGGCGTAAATACGGACAGAAGCAAGTCAAAGGAAGCGAAAACCCTAGGAGTTACTTCAGATGCACTTATCAAAATTGCGTCACAAAGAAGAAAGTGGAGACGTCTCTTGTGAAGGGTCATGTCACTGAGATTGTCTATAAAGGAAGCCACAATCATCCTAAACCCCACCAATCCATGAAAAGGTCAGCAGCAAATGACGTTAGCTCTCATCAGAGTAGCAGTCATGGAGATGGTGGTGGTGAAGATAACGTTGATGTCAAAAGAAGGTAAGTAGAGTCATAATAAGCAAGTGAAAATCAAGAGGGAAGAAAGAATGAAATGTGATTTGTGTTTATGCAGGAAGAAAGAGGAGAGTGTGAAGGAGCCAAGAGTGGTGGTTCAGACAACAAGTGATATTGACATTCTTGACGATGGTTACAGATGGAGAAAGTATGGTCAGAAAGTCGTGAAAGGCAATCCAAATCCAAGGTCTGTGTTCTTCTCTGTTCTGATCATCAGTTGACCTAATAAACTATAAGTTAAACGTGTGATGCACGCAGGAGCTATTACAAGTGCACATTCACAGGATGTTGTGTAAGGAAGCAAGTGGAGAGAGCATTCCATGACGCAAAGTCAGTGATCACCACATACGAAGGAAAGCACAACCACCAAATCCCCAACACAAAGAAGATGTCACACCTCAACAACATGACAGACTTTGTCAGCTATTAGATGTTTCAGATGGCAAATGATGTAATAAATAAACAAAAGACACATGATATTATTAGCTGACATTTTGAAGTAAAGGAAAATGACTTTTTATATCTCTCTTTATGCATTTTCATCTGCAATCTTGCTCGCCACGTCTCTCTCTCTCTCTCTTCCTCCTCGCGTCACTGGCTGCTTCTTGGCTTTTCCTTACGTTTTCCGTCCCTCTGATCAGCCGGAGGACGCACGTTCTCTGACCTGGAGACTTTAGTGATGCTCTTTGTTTCTACTGTGGCGGTTGCCAATCACGGTGCGTTTCTGTGCACCTGAAGATATGTCTCTTGGGGAACAAGAAAACCATTGGATCTGGTCTTTTCAACTTCTTTAACCAAACTGCCTCAAACGCAGCTGCTGCTGCTGCCATTCATTGCCACATCCGCAATGTCACGCGTTGGAGCCTAAAACTTTTGCATTCATTTCATTGTTATTGTCTCTATCGAAGTCGCTTGTGACCTAGAATGAGACCGCTATTTTTTTTAAAAAAAAGTAACCATAATAAGAGATACATAACTCTACTTAACACCAAAGTAAAAATGGATGAAGAATAAGATTACATTGCATGCTGCTCTCTGTGGTAGTGACCAGGGGCGGACCGAGAAATTTACAAAGTATGGGGCACACAATATAATTTGTATATAAGTTAGGGGTATATAAATAACAAGACCTCACTCATATAGTAACAATGTAACTGGTTACCAACAAACCCTTTCATCATATTCAAGAAGTCTGCACGCCTTTCTCTGTCCAGCCTTTCAACCTCGCTCCTGTTATTTTCCTGTCAGGATAATAAATATTCACACAAGACTGTAAAATCAGCAGAAGATTTGTTTCGTATAGTGGCATCATGGAACCACCTTGATACGCTCGTACTCCCTGATGGCTACATTTAATTTTAGCGTCCTCAGTGACCTTAACGGTTTATTTTTACTCTTCTATCTTCTTAATCCTTGAATTCTCCCCTCCAAATACCTTTGAAGATGCAGCTTCTTAGCTGATCTCTGCTCTTCCTTCCAGTGAAGAAACCTCAGATAGAAGCGTCTGTGTCAACCACAGAGTCTCCTCCTCTTCCTTCTTCACCAAACAACTGCTTTGGCAACTTAAAAGCACCATCTGTACTTGTCTCCAGTGATAACTTCCTTTCCACCTGAAGAAAAATCTTTAACTTCATCACTCATCCTAATCAACAAGCCTAAGAAAAGTACTTCTCCAAACCAACTTTTCTCACCTCCACAAACTCATGCCTTTGCATCACTTGGCTCTCCACCACCAGGCTCTTGTCTGGCCTAGGTGTGATGCAGAACCCTCTATACTACTCAGCTAACCTATCTGCCAATGCACCAACATCTCTGAACCCGAACGGACTAAATTGGCCCAGTTTGCACCTTAGTCTAATTCTTCCTTGTTATACAAGAAACCAAAAAAAGGAAGAAGATGAAGAGCATTTTATAAGCTACTTCTCTGGAGATGACTTTGACAGAACTGATCAAACCACTGTAAGGATATTGTTGTATCTGACGAGTGGCTCTCATGCCCTTGTTATAATCCCTGCTTATCTCCAGGAGGTGTAAACGACAGACAGCTTCTTTATTGACATGAAATATGATGATCAAGCTATAAGCTACAAAGGCATGTCTTTGAAGCCTTTGAATGAGTTCCAATCACAGACTCAATTATGTGAAAGTCTTAAGCCTATCCACCAGTTGAACAATATAGGCGCATAAGAAAAAAATATCCAAACTTTCTATAGCTAAACCCATTTAGAAGGCTTTAAGGCTTGTTAAAAACATTTTTCGACGCAGCGTTTTGGTAAGCTCTAAAAAGGCGATTATTAAGGCGATTTCTGCGGGTTCTCGACGTACGATTTCCGGTGGTTCTCTGCGGCGGTGCGATGGGTTCTAAGGAGGCTCAGGACGATCCTCCTCCTCCGATCGTGTCGACGAAGTCTTGGTTAGCGGCAGCACAGGAGAAAAAAATTCTGAAGAAGTACGATTTTGAGATTTCAAGTTCGGAGGGGAAGCAATCGATAACGGTTCCGTCGGAGGTGGTGGATAAGGCGAATTTGCTATGGGAGGACTTTGTTATTCTGAGGTTCCTGGAAACAGCTCCTCATGTGGCGAAGGTCCATGTAATTCTGAATAAGATTTGGGCGTTTGGGGATAAAACTCAGAGATTGGATGTGTTCGAAATGGATTTGACAACAATGAGAGTTCGGATTCCTAATGAGATGGTGAGGGATAAGGTTATACGGAGGGGTATGTGGAATATTGCGGGGGTTCCGATGGTAGCTTCACGATGGTCACCGATAGATGAGGGGGAAAACAAGTTAATTCCACTGTGGGTGTATCTTAAGAATGTTCCGATGAACATGTATTCTTGGGAGGGGTTGAGTTTTATAGCAAGCGCAGCTGGTATTCCGGATCATCTCCATCCAGAAACAATTGCGTGTAAGAGTTTTGAGATAGCTAAGATTTGTATCAAAGCAGATCTGTCAAAACCTTTGCCACAGGAGATTGATTACAAGATAAATGGGGAAGACATCACAGTGGGTTTCAAATATCCATGGCTACCTGATCGTTGTAATGGTTGTGGAAAATGGGGGCACCTGGAGGAGAAATGTAGTAATAAAGAGGACAAAGAGGAGATGTCAGTAGAGAGTATAACAGAAGGGAGGGTTTTTGAAGGCACATCAGCTATGGATGATAGTAAGGATGAGGTGAGCAGTGTTGTTCAGGATAAAGTTGTAGAGAAAGTTCAAGAGACTGAGTGGCAAACGCCGGGAAAAATAGGGAGGAGTTCGGGTAAGCAGGAAGTGCAGTATGTGGAGAATATTGTAACTTCTTCTAGGTTCTCTGCTTTAAGTGTTTCGGAGGAGGATGGTAAAGAGAACACGGAGGTGATTAATGTGGTGAAAGATAGTACTATCAATCAGTTGTGTGATAATACTGAGGTGATGGCAGGGAATGTCACAAATGAGGAGGAGAAAGGGAAAGATGATAGAATAATGCAGAGGCAGATCTTGCCATGGGAGTCGAAGGCGAGACATAAAGTTCTTTCTGAAGGTGCTCAAGTTGCAAAGGTTCCTGGACCGAGTAACATGAGCAAAAAAAGTCTTCGTAAGAATTATTAATAGCCAGCTTCTCATGGAATGTTAGGGGCTTTAATAAACCAACTAAGCATTCTGTGATGAGTAGATGGTGGCAGGAAAGTGATTTGAGTTTTGGGTGTTTGTTAGAAACTAGAGTGAAGGAGGTAAAAGCTAAGAAAATTGTTTCGGAGGTGTTTAGAGGATGGGAGTTCATGTCTAACTATGAACATAATACTTTGGGGAGGATTTGGGTTCTTTGGAAATCAAGTGTGAGACTTTCTCCGGTTTTTAAAAGTGACCAAATTATTACAGTTTCAGTCAGGTTGCAAGGTATGGATGAGGAGTTTTTCTGTTCTTTTGTTTATGCGAGGAACACGATAGAGGAGAGGAAAGTGTTATGGGAGGATATGTGTAATCACCATGATTCACCAATGTTTCGAAACAAGCCATGGATTATTATGGGTGATTTCAACGAAGTTTTAGAAGGTAATGAGCATTCGGGTTTTGATAATGCGCCTGCTATCTCAGGAGGGATGAGGGATTTCCAGAGAGTTGCTAGGCATTGTTGCCTTACAGATAATAGTTACCAAGGCCCTTTGTTTACGTGGTGTAATAAAAGGGACGCGGGTCTTATCTGCAAGAAGCTTGATAGGGTGCTGGTGAACGATACTTGGCTGCATCAGTACACGCAGGTTTATAGTATTTTTGAATCTGGGGGCTGTTCTGATCATCTTAGAATTAGAACTCAGATTAAAAAGATGGAGGAGAGAAAGAGAAGACCGTTTAAGTTTACAAATTCTATTGGGAGGATGCCAGAGTTTGTGAAACTAGTTGAGGAGTACTGGGGGAACACTGATCCGCTTTTCATCTCCACTTCTTTTCATCTCCACTTCTGCCATGTTCCGACTCACTAAGAAATTGAAGGCTCTTAAGTTTCCCTTGAGAGTTTTAAGCAGAAAGAAGCTTGGTGATTTACCTCGACGAGTTAAAGAGGCTTTTGAGCTACTTTGTGAGAAGCAAAAAGCTACTATGGAGAATCCTACGGTGGAGGCAATCACAGAGGAAACAGAGGCTCAAAGAAAATGGCAGAGATTGGCAGACTTAGAGGAGGATTTTCTTAAGCAACGGTCAAAGTTACACTGGCTTCATGTTGGTGACCAGAACACTAAAGCTTTTCATAATGCAGTAAAGCTTAGAGAGGTTCGCAATGCCATCAATGAGCTAAGAGGGCAAGATGGTACAAAAATTGTTGGCGAAGAGATTAAGAAGGAAGCTGAACGGTACTTTACGGATTTTCTTACTCATAAACCTCGGGAGTTTGAAGGAGTATCTGTTGATAGGCTTCAGGAACTTCTTCAATTCAGATGCAGTGACATGGAGAAGTCTAAGCTGGAGCAGGGAGTCTCGGTAGAGGAAGTAAGGAAAATCATTTTTGGAATGCCAACGGATAAGTCTCCGGGACCAGATGGCTATACTAGTGAGTTTTTCAAGGCTTCATGGGGGATTATTGGTGGTGATGTTGTGGCTGCTATTCAATCATTTTTTGAGAAGGGTTTTCTTCCTAAGGGGTTAAATTCTACCATCTTAGCCTTGATCCCCAAGAAAGAGACGGCTGAAGAAATGAGGGATTACCGGCCCATCTCGTGTTGCAATGTGCTATATAAGGTAATATCTAAGATTTTGGCTAACCGGTTAAAAGGTATTCTCCCCAAGATTGTTGCTTTAAACCAGTCAGCCTTCATTAGTGACCGACTTCTTATGGAAAATCTTTTGCTAGCTACGGAGTTGGTTAAAGATTACCATAAAGATGATATTGCCTCAAGATGTTGTATGAAGATCGATATATCGAAAGCTTTCGACTCAGTTCAGTGGCCTTTTC